AAAAAAAGAAAAGATGAAAAGTGATTCTTATATTTTTTCTAAACATATTCTGAAAATTACCAGTAAATAAGGGAAAGAGAAGAATTACATGCTGCACTGAACCGCTAATTCCAACTAACTCAACAGAACAGCATGGCAGATATTAGTGTAGAATTCTAGATGCTTGGTTTTCAAAAAGTGAATGTAAACCATAAAAAGGTTTCATCTTACTAGTTCCAACCACATGACCTTTAATATAATCAAAATAACCTGACAGGACTCTTCTAGAGTCATCATATGTGACTATGTGCTTGTGAGATTGCCTGCACAAACATGTGTACTTAAACATTTGCATGAAGGGACTTTTATTATCTATCTGCTTTTATACAAGCATCTTTATATGTGGTTGGAACTTTTAATTAAGTAAAGATAACAAAGAATAAGGATCAAGCCATGTACTATTACCACTGAAATCTAGAAGCTGCAGTATGCACTTGAAGACAAACATGCAGCTGGAGCTTAACCCAAAGAAAATATCCAAAACCCATAAATGAAAATGGTAAATAAATAAAACTAAACCAAGGATTTTCTCAAAATGGCACCTCGTTCCCAGCACATGTTTGTAGCTTGCAGATGGACAAAGCTTCTATTCTACAGCTCTAGCACAATACTTACATGGTGTGAGTGGCAAGGCACCAAAACTAATGCGGTACATATTTTTTCTACCTCTTATGGACATCATTATTTGAATTTGGCCAGAAAACAATAAATACAGCAAATGTTACTCAGACTGAACCTGACAGGTAAAAATCTATTTTTCCATTGCTAAAAACATTTTTGACTTTTGCAGAACCTACTGCTTTATTTATCACTACAAAAATCATAACAAAGATTCTTACTAGAGTACATACAAGGTTGATATTCACCTAAACATAACTAATGTAGCCTAAAGAATGCCTAATATTGCTAATAAGTTAGTTAAATTTCTCATAGACAGTTCTAGCAATTACCTGGATCAGTGTAGGGGTATGGGGGCGCTGGGAAGTCGTCTCTCTCAATGCGTGACACATCTCCACTAGTTGGCTTGCGTGCTCCGGGGTAGTGTGAGAGTGTTATGGGCTCTTCATTGTTCATGTGAGGAGACTTCGGTCTAGGTGTTTCAGACTTTATGCTATCTACCATCACACGCATGCCGAGTTTACTAGATGTTTTGGGCAGTGACAGCTTCCTACTATCCACTGTTGGGATAAAAAAGAGACAGGGATGTTAGAACACACACAGTAAAGACATTAAATAATAAATTCCTATATGAATATACAGCAGAAAAAAATGCTACACACATGCATATTCTCTTGCATACACACTTACACATTTAAAAGATATTAGCCTTTGAAAAAAAAAATTGAATCTATGTATGCTCAACTTTTCTTTAGGTTAGCAAATTTTCCTAAACGTCATTTCAAATTGGCAGAAAAAAGTACACAAATTAGGGTGACAGAAACACAAGATTTTATTGACAGAATCTGAAAACTAATGTCTGATAATTCTATAAACTAATCTTATTTAAACTATTTTTCTGCAGTTTCACCAATACAGTTGTATAGAGTTCCTGTGTGATTTTCTCCCTCAAACAGCTGCCTCTTACTTATGTTTTCATTCCTTTTTCATTATTTTCATGACTTATTCTGACCTAAACCCTAAATCCTGACTCCCCCTCTATCTAGCAAGATATCATGTGCCTCACCCATGGGACGGTGCCAGTGCGGAGACTTTGGTGGAGGACGGTCGTACGGGTCCAGGGGTCGCTTGAGGTACCCCTGGGAAGGCTCGGCAGTAAGGTAGGAGTACGTGTAGATGCGGGTGATGTCGATGGGGCTTTGTGAGGATTTGTACTCGCGCAGGATCAGCCCAGGTGAGCATGTGCGATACGGACCCGAGAACTGCGACGGATGGAAGAGTGTGAGCTTTGGGGCATGGTTTTCAGTTAGTTCTTAAGGTTGCAGTATTTAGAGCATGATGCCCTCTCAAAAATGGAAGCCTTCAAGACATCATAACCAGATGAGAATATGTGGCACAAATCAATCTAGTAATACTGTTGCCTATGCATGTTGAAAAATACAAGAAAATCTGATTATAATCACATCTCCATAAAATCTGACTATAATAATATATATAACAAAATGCATCAAAATAGCCAACAGTTATGGCACAGTTGTTTAAAAGATTTCTAAATTAGATTAAAAGTTCTTAAAAGTACCAAAATAATGTCATTAAAGAGACTATGGTCAGGACGATAATGAACAGAATAAATCCTGATGATAGATTTTGTATATGAAAATTAACAACTTCACAAACCAAAGATGTAATTGATGCATCTCAGTGTATCTGTCTAATGGTAATATATTTGATTCTTGTGAAGATATATTATGAAATGTATCAGTTACACTTTCATTTATTTCTTTCCAGACCTTAACACTTGAAAATCCTATCACCAAAGATAATACTAATTTGATCTTTATCCCTTTTAATAAATTTGTTCACTCTAAATTCAGATACAGTAATCTAATTTATCCAATGACGATAAATAATGAAGTTGAAGAAGCAGAAGTAAAAGAAAATATATATATATACTTATCTGTCATGGCAACAAACTTTCTTTTTTGCCAAACAACAAAATTAAGTGACCAAATGAATGGCCAACATCAACCACCCAATGGCACCTCACCTTCCTGTTCAGGCTGTTATAGGGGCTATAGGAGCGGAACGATCCATTAAGGCTTGGTGTGCGCGATCGAGAAAACTGAAATGAATGGTCAACAAAACTAAAGTAAGTCTATGCATGCAAGCTTACGAGAAGAGGGGGGAGGGGGGGTCTGCCTGGGGTGGTAGACATGCTTTTTAAAACTGTTATCTAAATAAAACTCAATCCACCAAGACTAGAAACTACTGCCAAAAAAAAGGTAAATAGATACTAAAACAAAAACAAACAAAAATTGGAGGATCAGGCATCTAATTCAACAACAAAAAACTTCGAGGATTTCACTCTTATGCGCCTTTAGACTTCCCTTGATGTCATGTTTATTTCAATTGTAGTTTATAATTTTCTGATGGATACTTGGCTCTTGACATAATTTTTCATACGGATTAGTCTACTGCTTGATATTACAATAGATCATTATAAGCCTCTTTGTCATTCTTCTTTTTAGTATCACATATATGTCAAGGCTCTGCATAAATAATAAAAAGTCAAGAGCAACTCATAATAATAATAATCAAAAGAATTAAAAGTTTCTTCTGAATGACCTTCAATAAGGCAAAAAAAAAAAAAAAAAATAAAATAAATAACCACACAAATCAACAAGCATAGTCAGATTATAAATATAAAACTTCAAACTACTTCATGTCAATCACATTAAAAGAAAAAAATGATAAGATAAAACGAACACAAAATATGAAAATAAAGAAAAATGAAAAGATGAAAAAATGCAGTAATGATGATAAAAAGATTGCAAATATGGCAATCAGGAACTCATGAAGAAAAGAAATAATATAAAAAGATCATGAAAATAGGTATCATGGAAAAATCAAAAGGAAAAATTTAGAAATGAGCAGAGGAATATAAATATAGCCATCAGGGAAATGTGAAAAGATGAAAAGATGAAGAAACAAAGATAAAGAGACCAAGTTAACAGACATCAAGGAAGTCGGAGTCCCCCTGCTCGGTGCACATCACGAAGGGCAACTCGCATTAGTCAGCTAGATTCTCTATCAAGTCAAAAAGTTAGTCTCTGGATAGCTCTAAGAACCACATAACTTGAAAACTTCAGGCAGGCACTGAGCACACTCCTACATGTCATACCCGTCGCCATCTGCCTGAAGACTCGACTGTTTCGATAAACTGCCGATACATAAAGGGCGAGTTAACTTACTGCTTAGTACTGGACTATGGTGCGAGAATAAACTAGGGACTACAGAAAACTTTTAGTCAGTCATAGGGGCTGTAGATTCTCTGTGAACTGAATCGCTCTCAGTTGTTTACTTAAAAAATGAAATGGAATTACTCTACTGATAATAATTATGACATTTATATTCCAAACATCATAAGAAAAAAAGAATTTACATTGAGGGGGGGTAAAAAGGTGGGAAAGAAATATACTGCATAAATATATATAAACTGTATATATGAAACAAGTCACTATCCACATAAGTACTTTTCTCGAATCAATGAGAATGTCAATAAATTTGCAACATTCAGAAAATAAACGCCAATAAACATACACTAAAACTGATTCTGCACGAAATCAAAGCAACCTCGTTCCCTGAAGCAAGAGCCAGGGAATTCAGCAAAGCACGGAGGTTGATTTAAACACATCTAGGCAGCTCAAAATGCATTCTAAATGAAGCACACTTAACAATAATTACACGTAAAGGGCAGATACGTAAAACCCTAAAATAAAATGAAGCAAAGGAGACATGTCTGAACATAACCTTGAAACTAAACTCTCCATACCCGCAACAAAACATTTGATCATTTATTCATTTCAATATTTCAGAATTAATCTTGAGTCTTGTGCCAATCGCTTACACTTTGAAATACAGAAACACTAAATATATGTCATTCTTTTTCATATCACTGCATACTATTTCCAGAACCACCTGCAGGATTTCTATTACTTAGGAGTAGAATAAATGATCTATAAAGATGAAACAATAAATAATGCACTTTACTGACAATCATATAAACATATACATAAAGCAAATATAACTGCACAAGCCATAGGGAACAAAAATAAAATCAAAAATCAAAAAACAGAAATAAAAGCAACCCTGCAAATGATAAAAATTAAGTTTCCAAAGCTATGGTGGACAACAAAGCAGGCAACCGATGATGAGCAAGTTAACAACGAGATAACAAGTTTAACTCCCTGATTCCCTACCTGTGTTTCTGAAGCTGTGGAGCTCATGCCATCAAAATCGCGTTCCCTCTCAGCCTTCTGTTCCCCATTGACATGGTGGCCGTTGGACAAGGAGCCGTTGAGTACTGTGCCGTTTTCAGTGGGTCCTGGGCCACAGCGTGGGTGCCAGATAGCAGTACCTTCATAGATGAATGAAAGAGATGGTGAGAAATGGTAACTCTGATATGGTCTTTTTTTCTTGTAAGTTCCTATTCTGCTAATTAACTTCAATCACATTAAATCATTATGACTACCTGCTCAATTCACATTCACTTTCTTCTATCACTCTTCCATTTTCTCAATACCTTCCCATTAATCTTTTTCAGTCCTCCCTTTCCCCTCTTCCTCTACCCATCTCCATTTGTCTCCCTTCCAATACTTCTATCTTCTTCCTCGTCTCCATCCAATCCAGCCCCTTTTCTTTTGATAATTCTGGTTCTCCTTTCCTTACTTCTTCTAAACCTATTCCTTTTTGAAACTCACCCTGAAGGTACATTTCCTCCCCATCTCCAAAGGGGTCCCCACACTTGGTGCACCTTGCACAAGTGGGATGGAAGTGGTGATTGTCTCCTGCCTGAAGCACCTTGCCGCTGATGAACCTGTTGCAGTAGGCGCACTTGACACCAAACTGGGCTTGGTAGTCCTTCTCGCAGTAAGGCATGCCATCCCTGGAACGGATTGAGAGAGTTTATGTGGCTGGCTGGTATTGGAAGTGACATTTTATAGGAACATTAATTTAAATTTTGATTATTTCTCGTAATTGTTATAATTGGCATTACTATAATTATGAAATTATTAAATGACATTTGTTTCTTTAACATATTTTTGAAAATACAAACACTACATAAAAGTATGTGTAATATTGCCAGTACATTCCTACCAACATCTATATCTATATGGGGTGTATATCTACATCTGTCTTTCTATTTATATGCAATCATATAAATTATGATATACATACATACACACAGACACACACACACACACACACCACACACACACACACACACAACATACACATACACATATATATATATATATATATATATATATATATATATATATATATATATATATATATATATATATATATATATGTATATATGTATGTATGTGTATGTATGTATGTATGTATGTATGTATGTATGTATGTATGTATGTATGTATGTATGTATGTATGTATGTATGTATGTGTATGTAATGTATGTATGTCTCTGTATGCCTGCATGTAGACCGCGCAGATCGCCCGTAAGCGGAAGACGCGGCCCGAGGCCCGACCGCAAGCTCCGCCGCCTCGCCTCTCGCGGACGCTTCTTCGGGCGAGGTTCTGGGCGGCGATTAGTCTCGTGCGAGTGAGGTGGGAATGAGGAAGAGGGGGAGGGAGAGAGGGGGGGAGGGGAGAGAGGGAGAGAGAGGGAGAGAGAGGGAGGGAGGAGGGAGGGAGGGAGGGAGGGAGAGGAGAGAGGAGAGGGAGAGGGAGAGGGAGAGGGGAGAGGGGGGGAGAGGAGGGAGAGGAGGGGGAGGAGGGAGGGGGGAGGAGGAAGAGGGAGGAGAGGAGAAGAAGGGGGGAGAGGGAGGAGGAGAGAGATGAGAGGTGGGAAGAGGAGGAAGGGGAGGAGGAAAGTGAAGGTGGGGAAGGGGGTGGAGGAGGAAGAGGGGAGGAGAGAGGTGGGAGGTGGGAAGAGGAAGGGGGGAGGAGGAGAGAGGGAGTAGGAAAGGGGGAGGAAGGAGAAGTCAGGAAGAGAAATGAAGGGAGAGGGAAGAGGAGAGACTGGATGAGAATAGGGAGGGAGGGAGAGAAAGGGTGTGGTGTGCGTGTGTTGCGTGTGCGTGTGCGTGTGCGTGTGTGTGTAAATGTGTGTGTGTGTGTGTGTGTGTGTGGTGTTGTTTGTGTTGTGTGTGTTGTATATGTGTGTGTGTTTGTGTATGTGGTGCGTTGTGGTGTGTGTATGTGTACGTGAGAAGGTGAATGCTTGCATGTGCGTGGATGCATACGCACACTATTATTTGTCACGCGAGCGTCTCACTGCCCGGTTTCGTGTAACACGTGCGTGAATGCGTGCCAGTGCTTGACCCAGTACCCTCACCCTTCCCCTTCCTCCACCCAACCCCTCCGGCCGAGTACTCACTTGCCCATGTACTCCCCGTGCAGCACGGTGTTGCAGGCGGCGCACTTGAAGCACCAGATGTGCCACTGCTGGTCGAGGGCGATCAGGGCCTGGCCCTCCACCAGCTCCTCCTTGCAGCCGGCGCACTCTACGAGGGAGAGAAGAGGGGGGGGGGGGGGGTTAGCGCTCTTCTCGGCCAAGGTTTTGGACTCGGGGGAAGGTGTGGCAGTGTAGAGGGTGTACTTAATTATCATTATCATTAGTCTGCTTGATATTTATAGTTATGCCATTATTAATATTAGCATTTCATCTTTATGGTCATTAGCAGCACTAGTACTATTATCATTATCAATATCGTTATTATCATCTTTATCAATATCATTATTATCATCATTATCACTGACGTTATAATCATTAAAATCTTTATCACTGTTAAGATTATTATTATCATCATAATTACTATTACTACTATCATTACCATCACCATCATCAATATAATCTATTGCTACTATCATCATTATTACTTTTATCACAATCATCATCATCATTATCAATGCCACTCTTATCATTACTACTATCATCATTGCCACTGCAACAGGAACAACGAAGGGAAGGGCAAGAAAACACAAGACATATTCGTGTGTTTTCTTGCCTTTCCCTTCGTCGTCCCTGTTGCAGTCTGTTAACCATGAATTCCACATCATTGCCATTGTCCTCCTTTTTCGTTACCATCCTCTTTCCCATCCTCCTTTTCGTTACCATTATCATCCCCATCGCCCTTATCCCTATCTACGGTTTCCGGGGAGTCCGACACAACACACTCCCGAGGTAAAAAAAACCCGACCCCGAAGACAAGAAGCTCTTTGGCGAACGAGCCGCCTCGCGACCGCCTGCCTCTCCCGCCGCTAACGAATTCCGTCCTTATCGCCGCGAATCCAGACTTTTTTTTTTTTTTTTTTTTTTTTTGCGATTTCGAAAACTGCTTCAAAAATATACCTAATAATAAAACGAGAAATCCCACAGATGACAAGCCACGGAGAGGAATTTCGCGCCTTAAAATAAAAGACACTTCTGAAGCGGGAGGGAGAAATTCTGCGAAACTTTCCCACACTGACAAGAGAGACAGAGAGAGGAAGAGATGGAGGTAAAGAGGAAGATAGAAAGGAGACAGAAATTGAGATAGATAAATAGATAGAGAGTAAGAGAGAGAGAGAGAGAGAGAGAGAGAGAGAGAGAGAGAGAGAGAGAGAGAGAGAGAGAGAGAGAGAGAGAGAGAGAGAGAGAGAGAGAGAGAGAGAGAGAGAGAGAGAGAGAGAGAGAGAGAGAGAGAGAGAGAAAAGAGAGAGAGAGAGAGAGAGAGAGATAAAGAGAGAGAGAGAGAGAGAGAGAGAGAGAGAGAGAGAGAGAGAGAGAGAGAGAGAGAGAGAGAGAGAGACGAGAGAGAGAGAGAAGAGAGAGAGAGAGCGAAGAGAAAGGTAAAAACAAAGAAAAAGAGACAGAGAAAGAGAAACAAACAGAAGACCACACAGTAAAAAAAACCACAGCAGTAACTCGCAAGATGCCTACAATACACCAACAACATTATTCTCCACCGTTACTCCTAAAATGAAAAATGAGAAAATAAATAGCCAGAGAAGTCACCGCAAATCACAAAAAAAAAAAAAAAAAAAAAATGAACTCTTTCTCAAAAAAAAAAAAAAAAAAAACGAGAAAGTATTGAGAAATAAATCTTCAGAGATCACGTATTTTGCATTCGTTTCCTGTGGTCTCCTTGTGCGCCTGGCAAGAGCATGCGGTACGAGGAAGACAATCAAACCGGTAAAAGTGTTGACTCTTGCAACAGTAAACAAGACAGACAAATATAACAACAGAGCAGAGTTTATGGCTTAACCATCATGTTAATGACAATAATTGGAATTTTGCCAAAGTTCCGATAACAAGAGAAAAATATATAATTTACATAATATACAAGCATACTTTATATACACAAATATACCATCATCCATACACACGCACAGCACACGCACACGCACACGCACACCCACGCACACACACACACACACATACACATACACCACACGCACGCACACCCAACCCATATATATATATATATATACTATATATATATATATATATATATATATATATATATATATATATATAATATTATATATATATATATAATATATATTATATATTATATACTATATAATATAATAATACTATATATATATATATCATATAAATATATATAATATATATATATATATATATATATATATAAATATTATAATATAAATATTATTATTAAATATATATATTATATTATAAATACACACAATATATATATATAATATATAATAATATATTATACATATATATATATATATATATATATATATATATATATATACATATATAAATATTACTAAATAAATAACATACTATATATACATATATATACTAATATACATATATATTAATATATATATAATATTATATATATATATATATATATATATATATATATATATATATATATATATATATATATATATATATATATATATATATATATATATATATATATATATATATATTATATATATATATATATATATATATATATATATATTATATATATATATATATATATATATATATATATATATATATATATATATATATATATATATATATATATACGTTCGAGAGAGAGCGAGAGAGAGAGAGAGAGAGAGAGAGAGAGAAGAGGAGAGAGAGAGGAGGAGGAGAGAGAGAGAGAGAGAGAGAGAGAGAGAGAGAGAGAGAGAGAGAGAGAGAGAGAGAGAGAGAGAGAGAGAGAGAGAGGAGAGAGAGAGAGAGAGAGAGAGAGAGAGAGAGAGAGAAGAGAGAGAGAGAGAGAGAGAGAGAGAGGAAGAGAGAGAGAGAGAGAGAGAGAGAGAGAGAGAGAGAGAGAGAGAGAGAGAGAGAGAGAGAGAGAGAGAGAGAAGAGAGAGAGAGAGAGAGAGAGAGAGAGAGAGAGAGAGAGAGAAGAGAGAGAGAGAGTAGGTAAAATCACCAAATACCACAAATGCCAATTTCTCCCGTTTTCCCTTCTGTGTTTATAACAGATCCGTGAAAGGTTATTTTACAAAAACAACTCGAAACATAAAATTGGTGTAATTGCCCAAGGTCGCCCGGTACCAATTTCGATAGACCAATTTCGATGAACTACAGCAAATAATATGAAAAAAATAAAAAAATCCATGAACATAATGAATATATATATATATATTCTAATACCTATCATCTTTCTCTCCTTTCATTGACTTGACGGTCAAATAAAAGATGTTCGTATAAAGAATAACAATGTGAGTAACGAAGAACTGTAAGTAACAGAGTAAGTATAAAAGCGAACAAGGTCTAACAATTGGCCCAAAACAATCACGCTTACTACCCATTAATCTTCTATGTGAACTTCGTGACCTTCATAGCCCATTTTTTTATGCGACGGGAAATTAATAATTTAACTTTAGAGGTATCTGGGTCAAAAATAATTCCCTGATTATCGCTCGGAATTACGTTTTTTTAATCAAAGTTCAAAACAAAATATTATTGACTAAATCTAATATTTTTTTTCTATCTTTTCATAATCATCAACGAATAATACTAATAACAACAGGAATGATAATTAAAAAAAAATAATGGGCGGGAAAAATCCCCGACACAGTGACTTTTGCGCCTGCGGTCTCTGAGAGGAAATCGAGGCTGCCGTAATACCAACGTGATTAAGGAATCATTCGCCGATTACCGATAATTAATCAATTATCCTGTCTCTCCTACGATTCTTTGCTTGCTTCTTATTCCTATTCTTAAACGCCCTTCTCTTTTGTATTAGAACACTGCGAAGAAGAAACAAGAGGTGGATAGAAAATGGAAGAATACCTTAAGCAAACTGAATCGGTAACAAGACGAAAAAAAAGTTGAAAACAAAAATAATAACAAAAACAATAAAACACAGACTACAAAACCCCCGCCTTCACAAGACCTATTCCCCCCCCCCCCCCCTCCAACCCGCACATTCCACCCACAACTCCACCCCTCACCCCTACCCCACCCCACCCTCCCCAGCTTACCCTCTTGACCTCTCGTAGCAAACCCTCTCGCCGGCCTAACCTCAATACCTCCTCCACCCACTCCACTTCAAACCACATGTCTTCACAATTACACAGCTCATTTGCATATTCTTGTAAAAGTGGGGTGAGGGGGGGTGAGGGGAAGGGTGCTGAGGGCGTGGGTGGGGATGTGGTGACCCTGAAATTCACGATGAATCTCCATTTTTTTTTTTTTTGTGCTATTGAGGTTGGCATGTTGGTTTTGAAAGTCAAGAACCTCGATTGCGGGGTTTCGGAAATTTCTCTGTGTCTCTGTCTTGCTGCCTTTTCCTTTTCACGTTTTTCCCTCAGTTTACTTCTGTTTCTCTCCAACTCCTTCTGCATTTCCCCTTTCTCTCTTTTACTCTCTCTCTCTCTCATGGTTACCTAAACAGAGCATAAGCGTAATGACCATCTTTCTCTCTCTCTTCCTCTCTTTTATTCTACTCTCTCTCTCTCTCTCATGGTTACCTAAACAAAGCGTAAGCGTGATGACCATCTTCCTGGTTCCATCCTTCCTCCTCCTGCAATATTTCCTCAGCGACACTCTAACCTGGCTGCTCACACTAACTTCCCCTTTCTCCTTCTCTTCCTTTTCTCCCTCCGTCTCCCCCGCCTCCTTCCCCTGCCCCTTCCCTTCGACCTTCTCCTCCCCCTCCTCCTCCTTCGCCGACGTCTTGGGGTAGGTGACGGGCAGAGTGACGTAGCCCTCGAAGCGGCCCATCTTCAGGAGGTCGACGAGAGAGAGGTCAGAGGAGGCTGGCGTCGAAGCGTCGGGAGACGAAGGGGGGGCAGCGACGGGAGGGGTCGAGGAGGAGATCGAGGACGAGGTCGCGAGAGGGGACGGGCCGAGGGCGAGAAATACGGAAGACTGGCGACCCGGCTTTTCAAAGATCTGAGTCCTTTTCCGTCCGGTTCCCTGGCTGGGCGCCGTCGCGGCCACTGCCTCCGCCACGATGGGGGTTCGGATGTATTCGGCCGCAAGTGGGCGGCCGTCGCTGGGCGGAGGAGG